AAAATAAATATTAGCTAATTTTAAATATTTAATAATTTTAAAATTTAAAATTTAATAATTTTAAATATATTTTTGAATACTCAATAATTAAAAACATAAAGAGATAAGAGATAAGATAAAATATATACGTGAAATAAGAAGAAAAAAATATGAGAAATTTCAAATTCTTACTATTTGATTTTTTCCCTCTCTAATTTTAATTTTTCTAGTAGTGTATTGACTTGTGTATAGAAATACAAAGCTGGAGTATTTATATACAATAAGAGAACTAACTAAAGGTAGTAAAAAACTATATTGCCACCTCATTCATACGAGAATAACTAACTATATCTAAACTAACTCAGTATCCTCTTTACAAGACAAAACAGGAAATAGACTGAGATATTTTTTAGCTTGAGTGAGTTTTCCACATTGGATTCTTTTGAATAAAGGCAAAAACCTTATGCATAAAGTGAAAAGGAAGTGACATTGGGCATCATGCCAAGCTAGATTTGGTGGAATTAGGACCAATCAAATGAGCATTGTAAGAAATTGGAACATGTGAAGGAAAAATCACTATAAGAAAAACGTAAATTTCCAACAGACATAATCTGTCGGTAAAAAGGAATGTCCGTCGAAAATTCTCTATTTCCGATGGATGCAAATCCGTCGGAAAAAGGAGCGTCAGGAAAAAAAAATCCGTTGGATATTTTCGACGGATATATTCGTCGACAATTATCCATCAGAAATTTTTGACGGATACATCCATCGAAAATTACCGACGAATATATCCATCAGAAATTGTTTGAAAATCTTTATATGATTCCTAACATAAAAAAAATGCATTAGAAAATGTAATTTTTGCATTTGTGCTAGAGCGAGAACAATTTTATATCACAACACAAATTATTTATCATAAATTTAAAATCTAATTTATATGTTTAAAAATATTTTTATATAAATTTTAAATATAATTTATAAATTCAAATAAAATATATAATAAACATTTAATGTGAAATACACAAGTTAAAAGTATATATTAAACACGAACGATCATATTGTGTGATAGAATTTTTAGGAGTTATTATTTAACAAGAGTATTTTTAAGAATTTTTGTATCTTTTTATCTAATTCCATTTTTTAGTTATTATATTTATTTATTAATTATATTTTAATATACTTAAATATAATTATCAATAAATAAAATTAATTATATATTGTAATATAAATTATTTATCATAATTTGAAAATATAATTTTTATATATTTATAATTTATTATAAATCTTATATATATATATATATAAAATAAATATTTAATCTATGAAACACACTAACTAAAATACTAGTTTAAAATAGGATATCACGTGAAGAAGAACAAATGAGCATATTTACACTTAAAAATTTTCAATCTTTTTGAATTTTATAATTTCATTGAATGTCATTATTGTTATATTTTTATTTAGAGATATCTCTTATTATTTTTTTAATTCGTGTTTTTAAATGCTTTATTTTTTCACTTTTACTGTTTTTAATATTGTATCAAATTCTATCATTCTTATCAACACCAAAAAAAAATTCTATCATTCTTATTTTTAATTTGATCACACTATAAAATTCACGCATCTTGGACATAAACTTGAGGAGGCTAGGGTGTTAAATATTCCGTGTAAACAATTCTCTATTCTTAGTCATTTAATATTTTACAAGTGAGGTAGACCAGTCCACTTGTATGAAGTGAATAAACTTTAAATAAAGATATAGATAATAAATTAATAAATTATAGGAGAATTTAAATTTCCAATGATCCAAAGAGATATTAAGATAAAATTTGCACTCGATCTTATATAACACATATGAATAACGCATCAAATTTTTGTCTTCATATTTATTTATTCCCATGGACCTAGTACAATAGTACTCTTCAATAATCTACTAGACCACCAAAAATATAAATAAAACCAACAACAATATCCATGATCTCTTTCTATCAAACGTTGAAATATTCTAAAATTTAGGAGATGTGGCACAGGCACTACTCTAGAATTCTCTTCAAAACCTCTAACCTAGTGAATTTAACTATACAAAGGTGGTGTCATATAATAATAAATAGGATAGGGTTGATAGAGGTCATGAGGAATAGGTACTTCTTTTGGAGGGTCCTTGTCCTTTTTCTCTTCTTTTGCTTGTTCAACTGAAACTATTTCAGTTTGACACAACTTTCGTAACTTGCACACTGCACTCACTGGATCGACGTTTCCTGATAAGGTCATTTTCTTGTCTTTCATGTCAACAGAAACTGATTCAACCCCTGCAAAATAATTGCATATGCAAATACAAATTTGTTTAAAACTCAATGAATCCTTGAAGTTGTATGATATGTGGATTTTGTTTCTTGTTTTTTTGAAACAAAAGCAAAGTTGCAGTAGGGTGAAAAAGATCAATACCTGAAAGGCCCGATGCTATCTTCATAGCTTTTCGCTTGATTCTATCATCGTGTAAGTACAACTTTAACACTACTTTCTGTTACACAACAAATATCAAAGATGTTAAGACCCAACAATTACTTCTACATCTAATACATGAAAGGAAATAGTAAAATATACAAGCCTTAGTGGAAATAAAAAAGAGTAAGAACCTATTTGGATAAATGTTAAAAATGTTTTTAAAAGTTTAACTATTAACAATAAAGAGTATTTTTCGATAGAAAAGTTTTCAGAAACATTTTTAAAGATTCTAATATTGTGAGAAAGTTCTAAGAAATGAGATTCATCTATTGATGTAGTTCTGACCTTCATTGTTGTAAGTAAAAGCTTGCTTATGAGAGCTAAGCAAGAATTACTCTCTGGTCACAATTGTTTATGAGATTTGGAATACTATGAGATGACTTTTATTTTGTAAATGAAGTTGTGATGAGTATCGTTAGATTGAGCAACATTTATAGTAGCATATAGTGTGAGACTTAGTCAAGTCAAGTCAACACAAGTCAATCATAAAGTATGGTCTTCAAAACTTTCGTACAGTTGTTTGTTAACAATAATTTACGCGGAAGAAACCGTGTTATCTTTATTTGACTATACCCTACAGTTCCTTGACACAGAAAATGAATTAATGAATTCAATAAAGAGTGTAATCATTGAAGGCTTTTCTTATCTAGGTATAACATAGGGCCCCTTTTGGAAAATGATAATGCATGCACCATCGATCCTTCCTGATTACATCCCCCAAACAAATCCTAGTGTAATAATTGAAGGCTACTCTTCCTTTTACCTAAGAAAATGCGATACATGAGATAAACAATTTATGAGAAAATAACATAATGTTGTATGTTTATGAAATAATATTATTTTTGGATTTTAAAAATTAAAGATAATATACTTGAGATTTAAAGTTACTTTACACTACATCACATTTGATATATCTTTACTAGTATAATAGCATAGTCGAAATGTATTTTAAAATAAATAGATAATTCATATTTAGTGTCTTATTATAACATTTTTTTTTTGTAATTATTATCTAAAAGAAACTCAAAAGTTGACTTGATCTATTATTTACCGGTAAAGTTGATATGTTGCCTCTTTGTTTTGGTTAATACTATCACGAAAAATAAAAACATCGATGCTAAATAATTTTAAGTATGACAATAGGAGAAATTCAAATTATGTGATAATATCAATCACAAGACATATTGTAGCTCACTAAACTTAATACTAAGATATTAAAAATATAAAAATATAGTATAATTTTTAATTAAATTAATATTTATCAAACATGCTAAACTCAAAATGAAAATGTAGAATGAAGTGAAGCTATATATCAAGTATAAAGAGCAAGATTAATTGAAAAGAAAAAAAAAAGATGATACAGTAAGCAATAGATAAATGAAAGGCCCATAGTGCTTTAATTTTATAAATAAAAAATTAAAAAACAAGTTGCGCACAAACACTTTAAAATAGCAATCATCTAAACAAATTTCATGTTATTATGGAATGAATTCCAAAAGGTGATACAGTTAAGTACAATGAACAAAAGTGTACACAAAATTAATATTACTTATTTTTAATTAAATTAATTAAATAAAAAATAATTATTGTAACCGTTGAATTAAATGTGCAAGCCAAAATTAAAGTAATAATTCTTCGTATATATATATATATATATATA